CACTTAACCACTACACCAAACTGCCTTTTCTCCCTGTCTCACAATAGAGTGAGATCAGAGTCCATGCATTTAACCACCGCACCAAGCTAGCTTCCAAATTTGGTGATTTCGTCAGAGAAGATGGCCCCCTTCTCAAGCCTTCCCCCCCAACTTGATAACTAGCTGATCAAATACAATTTTAAATTTCTATAAAGTGAGGTTATTTATTCATTTCTTATTTACAAGATTCATATATGGTGTCTGTGCCCTTACAAGGGCCACCGAGGTGGCTAACCATCTAAAACATACATGAAAAGCTACAGTTGTCAGAGCCAGCCTGGTGAGGTGGTTAAGAGCAGCAGATGCTAATCAGGAGAACCGGGCTTGATTCCCCACTCCTTCACATGCAGCCTGCTGGGTGACCTTGAAATAGTCACAGTTCTCTTAGAACTCTCTCAGCCCTCCCTCCCTCACAGAGTGACTGTCGTGGGGAGAGGAAGGGAAGGTGATCATAAGCTGCCTTTAGACTCTTCAAGGTAAAGAGAAAAAATGTGTGTTAAAAACAGTCTTCCTTTTGCCCCCCAAGCCGGAATAACGAGGCAGACACAAGTGCTGGGTTTAAACATAGGGCCACTTTATTAACTGACAACCTTAACTGGAACCAAAGGCAAGGGCAAATACAGATTGCGTTATGGTCAAGGTCAGAGGTCAAGGACCCCTCCCTTACCTTGTCACTAGGGTGAGCCACCCTGCCCCGGGTGGGAGCCCACTGCAGGGGCTACCGGCCGGCCGGCTAGCCATTGCAAGACAACCCTGTAGCCCCATCCCCCAAACCGCAAGGCTCAAAGAGAGGACCTAAACAGGGCCGTCCCGAAGGCAGTCCGCTTTCCCCGCCCCGTGCCGCAAGGCACAAAGACTGTACTTACAGGACCCCTTCAATCCAAATATGGGTTTCAACTGGTGCTCACTGGACCGCAATCTGTATACCGCATAGCAACCTGCCTACACAAAAGTGACCATTTTGCTGACACGACACACCCTTCAAAACACCTGCATCACTGCTGAAGTACAGGGTAGGCGAAAAACACCCCTACCAGGCGCCAATCAGGCAGGGGCAAAAAATTCCTATCTGGCCCCCGAAAACCGGATGACCAGCAAATGCCTGCACTACTAACAGGGCGGGAGGGTGGGCCGACGATTGACCGGGACTGCTGGGGAGAAGACGCAGGGCCATCCTGTACCTCCTCGGCCCTGCCTCCGCCGGATGCCCTTATATGTCGTTTTTGGCGCCAAACCCCAGCCTGCCTCATCCTGCAGGGAGGCAAAGGTGATCCTCCAGCCCAACAGCTTGGCGCTGTGGGCTGTTAAATCGAATTATCTTCTTCTTCTCATGTGGCTCTGGAAGTGGTGGCAGTTACAACCATAGAGAGCTTCAAGAGGGGGATTGGATAAATGTATGGAGCAGAGGTCCATGAGAAGCTATTAACTACAAGGTATAAAAGGAACACTATGTCTGGGACAGTGATTATTTGCATTCTAGGTGCTTGGGGGGCAAGAGTGGGAGGGGCTTCTGGAGTTCTGGCCCCACTGGTGGACCTCATGATGGCACCTGGGTTTTGGCCAATGTGTGACAGAGAGTGTTGATCTGTATGGGCCACTATGTGAAAGAGATATGTCCATCCAACATGGCTTCTCTTATGTTCTTGGTGCTTGGGGGGTGGGGGGCAACAGAGGGAGGGGCTTCTGCAGTTCTGGCCCTGCTGGTGGACCCCATGATGGCACCTCGGTTTTGGCCAATGTGTGACAGAGAGTGTTGGTCTGTATGGGCCACTGGCCTGATCCAACATGGCTTCTCGTATGTTCTTGGTGCTTGGGGGGGCAACAGAGGGAGGGGCTTCTGGCATTCTGGCCCTGCTGGTGGACCTCCTGATGGCACCTGGGTTTTGGCCAATGTGTGACAGAGAGTGTTGGTCTGTATGGGCCACTGGCCTGATCGAACATGGCTTCTCGTATGTTCTTGGTGCTTGGGGGGCAACAGAGGGAGGGGCTTCTGGAGTTCTGGCCCTGCTGGTGGACCTCATGATGACCCCTGTGTGACAGAGAGTGTTGGTCTGTATGGGCCACTGGCCTGATCCAACATGGCTTCTCGTATGTTCTTATGTCTGGGGCAGAGATGCTGTCTTCTCGGTGCTTGGGGGACAATACTGGGAGGACTTCTGAAGTTCTGGGTCCACTGGTGGACCTCCTGATGACACTTGGGTTTTAGCCGCTTTGTGACAGAGAAGGTTGGGCTGTATGGGCCACTGGCCTGATCCAACATGGCTTCACTTATGTTCTTAAGAGCAGAGGTTCATGAGTGGCTATTAGTCACAGGGTCTAGAGGTGACACTCTGTCTGTGGAGGTAATGTTCTTTCTTCTTGGTGCATGGGGGGGGGGCAAGAGTGAGAGGGCTTCTGGAATTCTGTCCCCATTGGTGGGCCTCCTGATGACACCTGGGTTTTTGTCGCTATGTGTCAGGGAAGGTTGGGCTGTATGGGCCACTGGCCTGATCCAACATGGCTTCTCTTATGTTCTTAAGAGCACAAGTCCATGAGTTGCTATTAGCCAGAAGGTCTACAGGGAACACTCTGTTTGAGGTGGTAATGCTCTGTCTTCTTGGTGCTTGGGGGGCAAGAGTGGTAGGGCTTCTGGTGTTCTGGCCCTGCTGGTGGGCCTCCTGATGGCACCTGGGTTTAGGCCACTATGTGTCACAAAGTATTGGACTGGATGGGCCACTGGCCTGATCCAACATGGCTTCTCTTATGTTCAAAGTCAAGGGATCCAACGCTTCAAAGGAGCCATGTGATCTGATTGCAGAACTGGGCTGCTGGCCCAGCCCATTCTCAGAGGCATGGGATGTTTTTGTAAGCAGAGGCCTTTGCTGTACACTGCTACTTCACCCCCACCCCATTCTGGGAAAAAAAATAGGATTAGCAGTCACCCTGAGGAGTGTGCCTCCCTCGGATTGGCATCTCCAGAGATTGTTGTTTTCATACTCCATAGTGTTCATGAATTGTGAGTTAATTGTATTAGGGCTGGTCTATGTGGCTGCCCTGACCTGCCCCAGCTTGCTACCCCAACCTCTTCAGATCTCAGAAGCCCAATAGGGTCCTGGATGGGAGACCTCAAAGGTAGTCCAGGGTTGCTGCTCTGAGGCAGGCAATGGCAAACCACCTTTGTTTGTCTCTTGCCTTGAAAACCCTATAGGGTCCCCATAAGACTTGATGGTACCTTCCACCACCATGAGTCTTGCTCAATAAGAGGGATGGCTGGAATTGTAATGCTTACTACAGCATATGCCAGCCTAATTTGCGAGCACCCCAAAGAAGCTAAGGAGGGCTATTCCCCAAGCCAGCCCATTAATGTAGTTGGTTGGGTTGGAAAAAAGGGATCTCCTTGGTGCTGCTAAGCATCAATCAAGCCTGTCATTTTTTCAGCGCCACACTGGGAGAGAGGGATGGGGCCTGGCACATCTCAGCACCCTTTTGTGGTGTGGGCTAGGATAATTCAGTTCCACTATTTAGGTGGCCTCTTAACTGCAACCTGTACAAAATATGATCAGTATCAGCAACTCATCAACTCGGTTTCACCCATAAATTTGGTGTCTCATGTCTTTGCTTCCAGGTGTTGCTACAGCTACAATTGTCTGGACAATTGTGGAACATTGAATGTTCCTTGTGAGTTGTGCCCTCATGTGGCAATAGAGTGTATCACCAGCAGAGCCGCTCTGGCAAGAGTTTATATCTCTGTTCAGCCATGAATATTGCTGGAGAATCTCTGGTAGGTCTTTCTCTCCCCCGCCTTCATCATAACCTAACTCAAAACTTGCTCTTAGGATAATATAAAGCAAAGCTATATTGGAATATCCTATGTCTGAATACAAATGCAAGGAAGAACAAAACAGAGAGAAATATTTGTGATGCAAAGGAAGTTTTAATGAGAAGGACAAGGGAAGAAGTTCTGGAACATTTCAGGAGGATGAACAATAACAAATGAGGAGATCTACATCAGCTTACATCTGTCTCATGAATATTTCAATGTCCAGAAGGTAACAGAGCTCTCTGAATACTTCAGTTTGGTTGCGGTCACACTGGTGACTTGGCACGGTATGATGGCGCCTCAAATGGTACCAGTTCAAAGTGTAGTGGAGCTCATCTGCATATGTGCATATGGGCAGCAACTTAAAAAAACAGTGACGGAAATGGATCTGTAAGTTCAGATACCCCTTTCAGGTTCTTTTCACTGCAGGAGAGTTCGCTGGAGAGTTCAAAAACCCAGAGGGAACTGCGAACAATCGGTTCATATCAGTCTTTCCCAGTATCTCTTTATTCCACTTCCATTGCAGAACAGTACGGGCTGCTGACAACTGCACCATGGGAGGTAGATGTCCTCATCTGGAGGGGCCCATCTATTTCTCTCAGGTAATGTCACTATAGCACCACAAACTGTGTCTGTGACCACAGCCTTTGTTTGATTCTTTCAGATTTACTTCGTTCACAGCACAAAGTACCTATATGACCTGCATTTAAATGTATAAGTTGAGATCTTTTGTTTCTCTCATGAGGTTAGGAGAAAGGGCATGGATCCATGTCCTCAATTGGCAGATGTATTTTTTAAGTCAGTAGCAGGATAGGTTGGGAAGCGACACTGGAGGAAATGAACTTGAGTTTATTTCTTCTCATGTTCTACCATGGAACAGAAAATGTGTGCATGCACCTCAAGTGTAGTCATACTGAGCAACCATGCTGGACTCAGTAGGTTCAAGTACTTTCAGGAAGTCCATTGCTATAAGGTCAAGCTTTCTTTCTCCAGCAGCTGCTGGGGTTATTTCTTCTGGGTTCAAAAATGGTAGTATGTGGTGCCATATGGCAGCAGAGCCATTTCGGTGACAAAGCTTGGGTAGCCTCCACCAGAGAAACCACCGTATCTGCTGCCACCATATCTGCTGCCACCAAATCCACTGCTACCATATCCACAGCTACCATAACTACTGCCACCATATCCACTGCCACCATATCCTCCTCCACCATATCCTCCTCCAAATCCACTGCTACTGTATCTTCTGCCACCAGATAAGCTGCCACCAAATCGTCTGCCCCCGAATCCACTGCTGGTGTATCTTCCACCACCAGATGAAGATCCACTGTATCTTCTGCCACCATGGCTCAGTCCTCCAGATCCACTGCCACCTAAACAGCCTCCTGATCCACTTCCACCAAAACTGCCACCCATACCTCCTGCTGATGCACCACTGCTCATTCGACCACCACCCACACTACCACTTAAGCTGCCACCTGATCCTGCTGATCCAGCTGATCCACGTCTACCTCTACTTCCACCCATACCTCCTGCTGATCCACCACCACCACCTAAGCTGCCAGATGACCCAGCTGATCCACGTCTACCAGAACTACCACCAAGACCACTGGCTGATCCACCTCTGCTGCCACCACCAGTGCCCATGCCACCACCACTCATGCTACCACCACTCATTCCACCACCGCTCATGCCACCACCACTCATGCCACCACTCATACCGCCACCACTCATGCCACCACCACCACTCATGCCACCACCACTCATGCCACCACTCATACCGCCACCACTCATGCCACCACCACCACTCCTGCCACCACCACTCATGCCACCACCACTCATGCCACCACTCATACCGCCACCACTCATGCCACCACCACCACTCCTGCCACCACCACTCATGCCACCACCACTCATGCCACCACTCATACCGCCACCACTCATGCCACCACCACCACTCCTGCCACCACCACTCATGCCACCACCACTCATGCCACCACCACTCATGCCACCACCACTCATTCCACCACTCATACTACCCCTGCTCATGCCACCCCTGCTCATGCCACCCCCGCTCATGCCACCCCCGCTCATGCCTCCCCCACTCATGCTACCACCCCCGAATCCGCTACCCCTACGACCCAAACTGCCGCTGCCAAGGCCACCTAAACTTCCACCACTGCCACCTAGGCTTCCCATACCACGACCACCACCTAAACTTCCTCCACTCCCCAAACTGCCACCAATGCTTAAACCTCCACTACCACCCAGGGCATGGCCACCGCCAAAACCTCCTCCACCACCTCCCAAACTGCCATATCCACCACCGACTCCCGCACATGGGTTGTGCTGTTCAATCTGAAAGAGCTGGTCAGGGCAATAGAGCGCGGGTCCTGGGATCGTCAGGACGAATGGTGGTGGCTGTATTGTCACCGTGGATTCAGGACAGCTGGCGTAGCACTGATTCGACCCACCACTGGACGACATCATTGTGGATAGGAGGCGGTTCTGCAAGAGCACAATTGAGATAAAGACAGTGTTTAACTTTCTGTTCAACAGATGTACCCAAATCTCATGCATGATGGTGTGGTTTCTGCCCTGGTTCACATACAAGGCTGTAGCAGCTACAGCTTCTAATACTTATCACAGCAAATTGTGATGCCCCCCATCTAACTAGGACTGCAGCAGATGTGTTCAACATCTGAACATAGTCTGTTCAGCTGTTCCCAAACACAGTGGGGCCAGTTGCCTAATCTGTTCACCTCCCAGCAAGCAACTCGAACAGCAGCCAAATTGTCTATCAAACTCCTTGCAGTCCTATCAAGGAGGTTTGAGATGGACCTCAGAAGCTGACTCTCAGCTGAGCTTCTCCACCACCCAAACTTCTTACTCCGTTGGAACCCAGGGAGAAACTTCAGAGGGAAGAACTGGAGTCATCAGTGTCTCTTCTCCTCCACCCCAAACCGTCAGCTTGAGCTGTGCAGAAATGGAGGAGACCACTCTTGGGACAGCACAAGCTGTGTCAGTTATGCTGTGAGAGTAGGATTATCAGCTCAGTGCCGGCAACACCCAGGAAATGTGGAGGAGGGGACAAATTCCTAATGATCAGCATTGTGCCAAGGCCCTGATGTCACTCACAGCTTAAGCAGCTTCTCCACCCACCCAGTCTGTTATCTTGAGCCACAAAGGATAGGAGCAGATGGTTCTTCTTCCCTGACTTCCCACTCTGTAGAGATGAAAGAAGCAACTGCTTTGTTTGTTTGTTATTCCAAACAAATAGAGAGAACTGGCTGACAGTTTGGGCTGCAGGGAAATTGGAACAACCGGCTTCTGTTCTTGGCAGCCCAAGCTGATAGTTCAAAGGGGGGATGTAGGTGGAGAAGCAATCTACTTCTTCCCTATCACCCTAGACTGAGAGCTTGGGGGTGTTCTTCTGCAGACCAAGCGGCCGGTTAGGGGACGAGGGTAGTGTTGCCAGCTCAGTTCTGGAAACACCCAGAAAACATGTGGAGTCTCAATGATCAGTGCCATGATAATGCTATGAATGTGAACCCAGCAGTGACGCTACAGTGTTGGGGTGACACTCTAGACGTCACCCCAAATGTGGTGGGTTCAGGCTAGAATTTATGTCTGGTGGACCTCCTGATGGCACCTGGGTTTTGGCCACTGTGTGACATACGAATATGAGAACATAAGAGAAGCCAATGTTGGATCAGGCCAGTGGCCCCTCCAGTCTAACACTGTCACACAGTGGCCAAAAATACCAGGTGCCACCAGGAGGTTCACCAATGGGGCCAGGACACTAGGAGCCCTCCCCCTGTTGCCACCCCAAGCACCAAGTCCCTCCCATTCTATATCTGTGTCTTTGATTTTTTGTACCTAAGTGTAGGACTTTGCACACTATTGAAATTCATTTTATTTGTCTCAGCCCACTGTTCCACCCTATCTAGATCATTTTGAATCCTGATGAGGGCGATTTCTCACTAGAGCTGCCTCGCAGCGCAGCCCCGTTTGCCCCGACACAAACATGTTAATTTCACACCGAGGTGGCGGGGCTGCATTTGACCCACGGCTTTGCCCAATTCCCTCCGCAGTTTCATGATCCTCAAAAACCAGGATCACGAAATTGCGGAGGAAATCAGGCAAGGCCGCGAGTCAAAATGCCGCCCCGCAGCCTCGGGTGTGAAATTAACATGTTTGTGTCGGGGCAAATGGCGGCTGCGCCGCGAGGCAACTCTAGTGAGAAATCACCCTCTGTCTTCTTCAGAATTAGCAATCCCACCCAGCTTCACCTGCAAATTTGATAAGCAGCCCCCCTATGTCTTCCTCCAGGTCATTTATAAAAACATTGAACAACACTGGGCCTAGGATCATCATCATCATCATCATCATCATCATCATCATCATCATCATCATCTAGATTTCTACCCCTCCCCAAACAGATGAGCAGCAGCTGATCAGTCTCTCAATTCATCAGCTGCCTGCTTGTCATCGGTGAACAGGATGGAAGTTGAGCCATCGGGTGTTCAACCATCCCTGCTTCTAAATAGCACCATTCACACAACTTCCATGACTTCCTTGTTCCTCTCTGTTGCTCTGCTGAAAGCATTGCTTTAAAAACTATACAAATATAAATGCATAATTAGGTATGGAGGGAATGTTGGAAGGGCATTCTCTGAAAGTAAGTTATAGAAGCTGTCGGAAACCCCTGGTTGTTATGAAAGCTGTATTAAGAAATACTAAGAGTCCGATCAGACGGCTCTTTAGATCCGTACGATTGCCTCACGGATCAAAAGGTAACGTCCAGACACAAACATCTGGGAAATGTCCCTCTTCCATGGGCATCCCATTTTGCCATGCTTCGGAGCTGTACTTAAAAGATACCACTTTAAATCTGGGGTTTTCAGTTACCTGCGGGACAACTGCGGACTTTCACCCGTCTGATTGTTTGACCAGCGCGCAATCCTCCCGTCGGGGTGGTCTGATGTCAGACCATTCCGAGCGGGCAACTTTTAAAAAAATCTCTACACATGCGCGGATCAACAAGGACGTCCTGTTACGTCTATGCACATGCGCAAAAGTTTTTTTTTTAAAAAACCCACTGCGCACGTCCTTCAACAAGGACGCGCTGTGATGCCTATGCGCATGCACATTTTTTTTTTAAAAAAAACACAGTGCATGCCTCCTTCAGTGGACGCTGTCTAGACAATCCACAACGGAGTCAGCGCGTGGTAAGGCGATTCACTGGGAGGATGTCTGGTCGTGCTACAATGGATTAAAAAGATCGAGATAAAATTCAAGATGGCATAATGGCGGGATTAGCTGCCCGTCTGAACGCACCCTGAGGCCCTAACTTGGGGAGGGGCTGTGGCTCACTGGCAGAGGATCTACTTGGTGTGCAGAAGGTCCCAGGTCCCAAGCCTGGCATTCCCATGAACAGAATCAGGTAGGAGGTGATGTGAAAGACCTCAGTCCGAGACCCTGGAGAGCTGCTATCAGTCTGCGTAGACAATACTGATTTTGATGGAGCAAGAGTCTGTTTCAGTGTAAGGCAGTTTCATGTGTTCAAGTTTAAGAGACCCCATAGCCTTTTAAACCTGGCATAGCATATTACAAAAAGAAAAGGTAATTTAGGTAAAGTGCCGTTGTTTTTTATTACTGCTACTTGTGTTGTTTAATGGCATGGAATAGCTTGGTTAATCACTATTAGGTTCTACAAGAAGGGGGGACCCGCGATACTCGTGGGGGGGGAAGGAGCTCCACATGGAGGAGGAAGAGGAAGCAACCACAGGTGAGTCTTCTCCCCTGCCCCCCCCACACCAATGGTGAGGCCTGGACCTGCCAATCCTTCTCCCCCCAACCCTCCCACACCGACGGTGAGGCCCACGCGGCTCCCAGCTGCCAGACCCACCAATCCTTCTCCTCCACCCTCCCCGGTAGCGAGCCACGTGGGCCCACTGAGCCTTCCCCCTGGCTCCAGCGGCTCCAGCGGCTCCCAGCCACCTGGCCCACCAATCTCTTCTCTCCTCCCGGCACCGGCATCATGGCCTGAGCGGCTTCCAGCCGCTAGGCCCACCGATCTCCTCCCCCAGCAACTTTTTAGAATTTTCTGCACACCTGGAGACTGCTCCAAGCATGCAGGAAAATCTCCCTGTCCCCCAAGTGCCCCCGATGTGCGGATTTAGATATCCGCATGGAGGGGGCAACTTGGCTATTAGATATATAGATATAAGCTTGAGCTAAATTTCCTTATGAAGGTTTCAACTTTACAATAATTTATACTAGCTAATAATTGGATTTTATTGTGCTTTATATTTGAGTTATTATGATCATACTGAACAGTATGTATATACTCTTTAATTGAGGGTGAAACTGCAATAAGATGTGTTGTGGAAGGGAGGGAGGGAGGGAGGGAGGGAAGGAAGGAAGGAAAAGAACATACGAGAAGCCAATATTGGATCAGGCCAGTGGCCCATCTAGCCCAACACTCTGTAATTTAGTTTCCCCCCCCCTTTGTTTTTGATTTACAGGCCACTCATAATCTGAGCCTACATTATAGACTACAAAAAATATGTTACAATCACTCAGAGGCTTCCTACTACATAAAGCTTCATTCATGTGTCCAACACATGCCCCCACATTCTAAATAGGCCTATTTGCAACAAAATACAGGGTGCTTTGGGCCTCTATAACAACTACAGTGTTATCCCATGGAAGGAAACCATGCAAAAATCTATCCATCCGTGTTACCAATCAGGTTGCACATAGAATTTCACATTAAATTAAAGGGACTGGATAGAACATGAGAAGAGCCCTGCTGGATCAGACTAATAGTCTATCTAGGCCCCGTTCACGTGCTGAATTTGCCGTGGGAGAGCCACGATTGAATGGCGGATTTTCCAGGCGTGATCACACCACAACATCTGGCAAGTGGAGCGGACCCGTGGCCAACCCGTGGCATACCGCCGAAATTGCGCAATAAAAAACTACCTGCTCGAAGGTACTAGCAAACGGTTTGACACGGGCTGCCTCCAGACTCCCTCGGTGTGATTGCACTGGGGCGCGGCTTTTCCCTCTGGCCCTTCGTTGACATGCAGGTGAGGCGGGAAGGAACCGTGGCATGCTGCCGGCGCGTGGGATTGCGTTCTGGCGGCTCTAACTGCAGCGGCGCAAATAGCCCTGCCTCCCCCCGCATTATCCGGCCCATGTGACCGGGGCCCTAGTCCAGCATGCTGTCTCATACAGTGGCCAACCAATTCCTCCAGACCGTCGACAACCGGGCATAGAGGCCGAGGCCTTCTCTTGATGTCATCTCTTGGCTCTGGAATTCAGAGGCTTAGTGCCTCTGAATGTGGAGGTTCGCCTCAGCCACCATCACTAGGACGAGGTCCTGAAGAGCTGGGTCATAGTTATAGGAGTTCAAATACTTTGTGGCCAGCTAGAGGTTTGAGACTCCTATTGTATCCCAAAGGACCTAGTTATCTCTGAAATGGAACATCCAAAACTGCCTGTTGGGCTCCCAAGTAATTAACTTAATTCGGTGGGGGATGTATAGTTCTTCGTGGGACCATTCCCGGAGGGAAAACACAGGTGCTGCACTATTCCATCACCTAGATGTGACGTAGGCACATAGCCGGGTGATGCTCTAGCAATGGGGCTGGAAACTCGATGGTACCATTACCAGAGCGTCGCCCAGCTATGTGCCTACATCACGGCTGGGCGACGGAATAGTGCAGCGCCTGTGTTACAAGCAAGAATCTTCTGGTGGGGAAGCATGTGTCCCCCACCGGTTTGTAGGTAGGTACTTGGGAACCCTGGGTGTAGGCTCCCTCACCCCAAGCTCCTGTTGCCTGCTGTCACTCCAAGTGGAGTTGGGCAGGGTGGAAATAATGTCTTTGTGTCCCTTCCAGGTAAAGGTAATGGTCCCCTTGCTCGAAAGCCAGTCGAGTCCGACTCTAGGGTTGCGGTGCTCATCTCCGTTTCAAAGCCGAAGAGCCAGCGCTGTCCGAAGACATTTCCGTGGTCATGTGGCCGGCATGACTAAACACCAAGGCACACGGAACGCTGTTCCCTTCCCACCGAAGTGGTACCTATTTATCTACTTGCAATTTCTTGCTTTCGAACTGCTAGGTTGGCAGGAGCTGGAACTAGAGACGGGAGCTCACTCCGTCATGCGGCACACTCGGGTCTCGAACTGCTCAACTACCGACCTTCCACAGCCTGCAGTTCAGCGTCTTAACCACTTGAGCCACCGCAGCTCCCCCTTCCAGGTACAACCAGGAAAAAAAAGACAGATCTAGGAAATGCCAGAAACCTTATGCTTACCTGAGGTTCCCGGAGCTGACCTTCGTCACTGATGGATTGTACCTAGAAGAGACATAGCCATGTTGGTGACATGCTGACATTACACACACCACCCATGTCCCCACCTGGCAATCCTAGGAACATCTGAGTCAGGGAGGAACCCCTTTCAGACTATAACTGGAGGTTCTCATGAGTAGGGAAGGGCATTAATAGGGGAAATGGAGGTTTGTGAAGTTTCATGGGGTCTCATGAACCATGAACCCCCATGAGCATTTCCAAAGTCCATGTAAAGTCTATTCACAGAGCTGATAAGAGCTCCTCTGTGCAGTTTGAGGGTACAAAAACAACACTAGGGGGAAGACTGAAGCTGCTACTCTCTGTTTGGGATGCAGGGCTGTCCCTAAACATTGAGAGCTAACAGTTGCTTTGTTAGAACAAAGTTTGAGTTCAGTGGCACCTTTAAGACCAACAAAGGTTTTTTCAATGTATAAGCTTCCGTGTGCATGCACGCTTCTTCAGATACAGTGAAACAAAACTTCTTCAACCATTACGTATAGGTAGAGAGAGAGCTGGAAGAGTTGGAATGTTTGGAAACATTCCATAGCAGATGACCCTAAGATCAGGAGGTTCTAACTTCCATCAGCTGAAGCGAAATCTAACATAGGCAATGCCTACAAAGCTTTCAAATAACTAATTATTTTCTGTTATGATTTAAAAACAACTGCTTTTATGCACCCCTCTGTGCTTTATGGTATTATTTGATATCTAATCTCTCCAGCCTCATTCCGAGTGCTCAAGCTGATCTCAGAGTGGTTTGCAATTGCTTATAGATTTGTAGATAGCAGTTGTGATATAGAGGTAGGTAAAGGTTTCCCTTGCCCAAAAGCTAGTAGGGTGCGGTGCTCATCACCGTTTCCAAGCTGAAGAGCCAGCGCCGTCTGGAGACATTTCCGAAGTCATCTGGCCAGCATGACTAAGCGCTGAAATGCACAGAACACTGTGACCTTCCCACCAAAGTGGTACCTATTTATCTACTTGCAGTTTCTTGCTTTCAGACTGCTAGGTTGGCAGGAGCTGGGGCCAGAGATGGGCGCTCATTCTTTCACACAACACTAGGGTCTCGAACTGCTAAGCTACAGAATATCCAGTCTGCAACATAGCTTCTTAACCTCTGAGCCACCATGACACCTATAGAGGTAGGTACTGGGAACCATAGTTGAAGTAGGAGATAGGAGAGTTCGAAATACCTGAATCAGGTCCCTACCATATCACACTGCTTGTGAAGTTTCACACATGGGAGAATGTTCCTTTGTCCAAACAAACAAGCAAGCAAAACAAAACATCCATGTACAAAGAAATTAAGATGTCAGGGAAGAAGGTTTGAGACCAATCTCTTTTTTTGCCATGCAAGCTGTTTGCATACACTGAGGATTTTATATACATGCCTGTGTGGAGCATCATGCTGTCATGAGTAGGGATGGGCGCGAACCAAATTCTGAACCAGTTCTTGGTTCACGAACCTCGGTTCATACCGTCCTGCAGCCACGAACGAACCTTCCATGAACTTCCCAGGTGGTTTTGGGAGGTTCGTGTGGTTCGTGTATGCAAACGGCTTGCATGTCAAAAAAGAGGTCTGCCTAGAACCTTCCTCCCTGGCATCTTATTTTCTTTGTACATGGATGTTATGTGATGGGACTTTGTGCCTTTCTCTGCTTACAATTGTAGTGCATGGGAAGACGAGCCAGACCCACCCCATTTGCATGTCATCACACCACCCTGTGAAGCCACTGTTGTCTCCGTTACGTAAATTATGGGTTGCCAAGTGAGTAACATGATTTCACAACATACTCGCGAGCCACTCCATGGGATAGTTTGAGGATGTGAAAATGGCAGGGGATGAAGACCAAAGCGGTTGCATCCTGCATGCTGGAGTCATGAGCAGAAAAGACCTGTCAGGTATCTGGGAGGCACCAAACACCTATCGCATGAAGGCCCTCATGTCATCCACCAATAAGCATGAGCAGGAGTCGTTTAGTAGAAAAAGAGCTAGGGGAACTCATTAGCATAACTCATTAGCATATGCCACACCCCCTGACATCAGGGGCCCGGCGGTGGACCTGCAAGGCCGGCGGGAGTGCAAGGAAGCCCCGCCAAGGCCCTCCCTGGCCCCAGGCAGGCAGGGGTGGGGAGAGGCGGGGAGGAAGCAACTTACCCTCCCTCTTCTCCTGCCTCCTCCTGGCTGAATGAGGACCGGAAGCGGGGTGGCCGGAAGCAAAGGACGGGGCTTTGTCATGTGCCCCGCCCCCGTACCTCACCCGGGGGAACTGTGTTCCCCCCCGATCCCCCCCCCGAAATGACCTCTGAGCATGAGGACATTGTAATGTGTACTGAGGCAGGAATTCTCTCAGCATTCTGAGCACCAAAATAATATTTAATATATAACCCAAATAACCCTGACAGGTTTACCAGCCAACACTGGAAACCCACTGAGATAGTTGGGGGTGTGGGGTGGGGACAATCTTCTTGACAAATCTCCAATGTGTGACATCACTTCTGGCAAAACAAACAAGGAAACAAACAAACAAACAGCACTGATGTCATTGCACAGAGTGATGATCTAGGATTCATCCAAAGCTCTATGCCTTAACTCTATGATTTTGGGTGAATCCTAGGGTGTCACCCCAGTGCAATGACATCACTCCTGGTTTTTTGGCAGATGTAATGTTACAGGTTGACACAATGCGGAGGACCCCCCCCCCCTTGAGCGCTGGCTGTGAATGGGGAGCTAAACTCTGAGCATACCAGAACCTCAATTGTACTTGTGGTAATCCGGTTATATCTCCCTAGTAATAAGTAGTGCTATTACAGGGAACAAGTTAAGGCCTAAGAATGAATCATAGGGCTAGAAAGAGAATAAATGATTTCGGAATTCCCTTATACTTATCCATATCTCCTACTCCGTGGTTCTATATATCCTATATCCTGAAGGCTTAAAGAAACCAGTCTCCCCCATCTCTCTCTGGTTTTATTCACTCTTGAACTGATGCTTCTATCTATCTATCTATCTGAGGGAATCCAACTTCTATGAGGAAAGGCTGAAAGAGTTGGGTATGTTTAGCCTGGGAAAGAGAAGGCTTAGAGGGGACATGATTGCAGTCTTCAAGTATTTGAAGGGCCATCATGGAGAAGATGGAGCAGATCTATTCTCTCTTGCTCCGGATTGCAAGACTAGATCTAATGGGTGGAAATGACCAGGGAGTCGTTGCCAGCTAAATATCAGGAGAAACTTCCAAACTGTAAGAGTGGTTGAGCGGTGGAACAGTCTGCCTCAGGAGGTGGTGGATGCTCCTTTGCTGGACGTTTTCAAGCGGAGGCTGGATGACCATCTTTTGGGTATGTTGTAGGGCTATCTTCCGGCTATGCGCCTGCTGAATGTGGGGGGTTGGGCTAGATGACCTGCAAGGTCCCTTCCAATGCTAACATTCTTTGATTCTATGATTCTAAGGCTCTCAACATGCCAATTGTTTCCTTACATCCAATAATTCAATAGAATATACCACTCGTAAAGATGGGGGATTAGTTGTTGTAGATTTTCCAGGCTATATGACTGTGGTCTTTGCACTGTTGGACGTTTCACCAGCAGCAGTGACTGGCATCCTCAGAGGCATAATTATACCTCAGAGTCACAGCTGCTGGTGAAACATCAGGTCTTATAATGCCAAGACGATGGTCATACAGCCCGGAAAATCGACAACAACTAATGAACTCAGGCCATGAAAGCCCTTGACAACATATGGGGTGTGTGTGTTTATATCCTAAAAAATTCAGTTAGAGAGATATGTTCTTCTCACTCGCCCCAACCTTTGCATCTCCAACTTCATTATCCTCAGCAGTCTGAAGTTGCTCGACCACTCAGAGAGCGGCACCCTTCACTAGAAACTCCTCTCCTGACATCTATATGATGCCACCTCTCTCATTTCCCTCCTCCCTCCACAAAATCCACTTCTTCAGCAAAACCTTTCACACAAATATCCAACTGAGTACAGAAGGGAGGAGGAGAGGAGATTGGATTTATACCCCGCCCTTCACTACCCAAAGGTGTCTCAGAGCAGCTTACAAACTCCTTTCCCTTCCCCTCCCCACAACAGACACCCTGTGAGGTAGGCGGGGCTGAGAGAGCTCTGACAGAAACTGCTCTTTTTCAAGGACAGCTCTTATCAGAACTACAGCTTGCCCAAGGTCATGCAGCCAGGTGCAAGTGGAGGAGTGGGGAATCAAACTTGGTTCTCCCAGATTAGAGTCCACACACTTAATCACTACACCAAACTGGCTCTTTACATTACTCTAGATTGAGTATTTACATTACCCTAGATATTTACATTACTCTAGATATTTACATTACGCTAGATTGAGTATTGGCTTCCCTTCCCTTCCTGCCCTTCCCTTTCATGATCTGCCTAATTTCACAGAATCAACATTGCTGTCAGATGGTCATCTAGCCTCTGTCTGAAAAACCTCCAAAGAAGGAGAGCCCACCACCTCCTGAGGAAGCCTGTTCTACTGAGGAACCACTCTGTCAGGAAGTTCTTCCTAATGCTTAGCTGAAAACTCTTCTGATTTAATTTCAGTCTTCTGGTTCTGGTCTGACCTTCTGGGACAACAGAAAACTCCCCACCATCCACTATATAACAGTGCTTTGAGTACTTGAAGATGGTTATCATATCCCCTCTCAGTCGTCTCCTTTCCAGGCTAGACATACCCAGCTCCTAGAGATTTGGAAACACCTGGAGATTTGGGGATTGACCATGGGGAGGACAAGAACCTCATTGGGTACAGTGCCACAGAGTCCACCCTCCAAAGCATCCATTTTCTCCAGCGGAACTGATCTCTATGGTCTGAAGATGAGCTGTATTTCTGGGGGGTCCACAGGCCCACCTGGAGGCTGGCATCTCTATCCTTGCGGTAGGACCTCTCTACCTGTACTCTCCGAAAAGTCATGCATAGGATGCCATGCTATCCAAAAACCGATGGGCGCCAAGCACAATCCCCATCCGCTGAAAAACAAAACAGAGCCCGCATCCCCTTTTCAGCACTGAGCAGCATCTGCTCCAACTTACCAAGTTTTCTGAGGAGTTCAAGAGTCAAGAGAGGTGACGAGGGCTTGAACTGCCAGGCTTTTATACGGTGCTGGCAGCGGCCAGGTGGGTATGACACACGATTGGATGTGATGCAACCCATTGATACCACAAAGGGATTTGCAATTAAGAAGTCACTCCCCCCCATTCTCCCATCCCTAATTAACAAGCTGATAGAGGTAAGTAATCACCCTCCTTCGTTGTGTTTACTGTTATATTCTTACAACCTCAGCACAATAAAAGGCCCCGCCTGGAAGAAGAAAAAAAAGAAGATTGCTAAAGTGAGGTTATGAACTCCTGGCCTTAATTCCATAAGTATGGGGTGCCCACATTAGGCACATCTGTGTAAACAGTTCGTACCCAAACATACAACTCCAGGCAGGAGAACCTGCAATGGTCTCTACTTCCTGCCCCGTGTCCCCGGAAATCACTATCTCTTTTTCTGGCTTTTGGAGATGCCTTGTTAAAAATTTTGCGACCTTGAGCTATTGTCGTTTCTCGGATTTCGGCTCCCTAGCTAGGAGCACTATTCTGAGGATTAATAGGAAAGCAAAATAAATAAGGTTATCAGGTTACCTCCTGGCACTGGTGGGAGATGAGGAGGGGACTTACCAGGAGAAGCAGGGAGGCCCATCCAACCTACAGCAATGTGTCTACATCACTGGCCACGTGACCCGGAAGTGATGCTTCACTTCCAAGATGCTGGGGCAACACTCTGGTATTTGGCAAAATCTCTATGGTAAATTCGACACTGCCATTTCTGTAATATATAATTAACCTTGATATATTTATTTATTTATTAATTAATTTATTAACTTTCGATTTCTAGACCGCTCAACCCCCGAAGGGCTCTGAGCGGTTTACATAGTACAGTTAACACTCCTAACTAGGGCCACACACAGTATTGGGGGAAGGGTGCCTACCAGGCACCCTACCGGTTAGTTGTTTATTTCAGTGGCTCTTCTCTTCTCTGCCTGCGTGGTGGCTCGACTCTGTTACGGCTCCTGCTGGGGTGGTTCCGTCGCCTGCAGTTATGTTACAATTAGGATTGCCCCCCCCAATGGAAATGGGGATTTACTCACTTTTGGGGGCTCAATCTGCCACCGCCTAGCTGGTTGGTGGGGGAGCCCTGCCTCCGCACAGTCCCATCCATGCCAATGTGCGTTATCACCCGGAGGTGACATCATCACGAAGGACACATTGCCGGGGGTGTGTGTGTGTGCTCTAGCATTTGAGAAAAAAACTCTATGGGTACCATAGGAAAAAACCTCTATGGTTACCATAGAGTTTTTCCTCAAACGCTAGAGCATCCCCCCGCAACATGCCCCGTGTGATGACGTGCACACCGAAAAACTCCAGGGAACCCCACACACACACCGCAACCAGGTAAGACCTGGCAACTCTAGTTATAGTTATGTTATATAATCCCTCTTTTCCATTGGTATCACCTCTATAGTATTACTTTGTTTTCTCAAATAAAAAAATATACATTAAACAAAACATCCTATCATTAATAGCCTTGCCCAGGTCATGCAAACTGAAGGCTACAGTTTCCTTTATTGAATCTATCAATCTCATGTTGGGTCTTTCTCGTTTTCTGCTGCCTTCAACTTTTCATAGTATTATAGTCGTTCCATAAGAACACAAGAAGTGCCCTGCTGGATTAGTCCAGTAGTCCATCTAGACAAGGGGTCATTTCGTAGAAAAAGAGGTGCAGGAGCTCATTAGCATAACTCATTAGCATAGCTTATTTGCATGTGCCACACCCCCTGACATCACCGGAAGTGTGTCAGAAGGGAACACCCACCACTCAGGCTCCACTGGACTGTTTTGGATTGCTAGCTACTGGGGGGGGGGATGTACAGATCTTTCCCCGCAGAGGAGCGAGAGCTTGTACCTGAATAAAACTTGGCCTTTAAGGTGCCACTGGACTGTTTTGGATTGCTAGCTATTGGGGGGGGGAATGTGCAGATCTGTCCCCGCAGAGGAGGGAGAGCTTGTACCTGAATAAAACTTGGCCTTAAAGGTGCCACTAGACTGTTTTGGATTGCTAGCTATTGGGGGGGGGGACGTGCAGATCTGTCCTTGCAGAGGAGGGAGAGCTTGTACCTGAATAAAACTTGGTCTTAAAGGTGCCACTGGTCTGTTTTGGACCGGGGGGCCGGGGAGAGCTCTGTAACTTACCTGGCTGCTTCTTGCTCTGACTGAGGGCTGCTGGGAGCAGGGGGTGGGGCTTGTTGCATGTGCCCGCCCCCTGGGCTCTTTACTGCCGGAGCTCCGCTCCTGTGCGCTCCTGCAGGAAATGACCCTTGATGTAGACCAGCATCCCATCTCACATAGTGGCTAACCAGTTCCTCTAGCCAGCCAACAGCACGGCAAGGGGGCCTAGGCCTTCCCCTGATGTTGCCTCCTGGCTGTGAGATTCAGAGGCCTAGTGTCTCTGAATGTGGAGGTTCCCCTCAGCCACCATGGCTAGTAGCTATTGATAGACTTCTCCTTCAGGAATCTATCTGATCCCCTTTAATGGCTGTTTATTCCTGTGGCCCTCACTACATCCACTGGTAGCGAATTCCACATTTTAATCACTCTGTGTGTGAAGTAGTATTTCCTTACTGCTCATAGGATTGTTCTCGAGTTCTAGAATTTTGGAAGAGGGAGAAAAAATCCTCTGTGTCGACTCTCTCCACCCCACACATAATTTTAAAAACCTCTATCATGTTTCCCCTTAGTCATCTCTTTTCTAAACGAAAAAGTCACAGGCTCTTCAGCCTTTCATCATAGGGAAGGTGCTCCAACCCCATCCAATCGGCAGTGGGGAGGTGGGGCCCGGAACTGAAGGACCCCCTCCTTCACTGGGAGGGGCCATGCAACCCTAAAAACAAACTAGAGAATATTAGGGTTTGACAGGTATAGGTGCTGAAATGACTAAACCAAGGCTATTATAACTATGAATCATGGAATTATGGAGTTGGAAGGGGCCATACAGACCATCTAGTCCAACCCCCTGCCCAATGCAGGACCGGTCTAAAGCATCTCTGACAAATATTCGTCCAGCCTCTTCTGGAAAGCTGTCAGTGAAAGGGAGCTCACCACCTCTCTCGGCAGCTGATTCCACCTCTGAACCATTCTGACCATGAAGACGTTTTTCCTAATATCCAGCCGATACCTTTCTTCAGCAGCCATGAAATTAAAAGACGCCTGCTCCTTGGGAGGAAAGCGATGGCGAACCTAAACAGCATGATAAAAAGTAGAGACATCACCCTGCCAACAAAAGTCTGCATGGTAAAAGCAATGGTATTCCCAGTAGTCATGTATGGCTGCGAGAGTTGGACTATAAGGAAGGCCGAGCGCCAAAGAATAGATTCTTTTGAACTATGGTGCTGGAGAAGACTCTTGAGAGTCCCTTGGACTGCAAGAAGAACAAATCAGTCAATCCTAAAAGTAATCAACCCTGACTGTTCCCTGGAAGGCCAGACAATGAAAATGAAGCTCAACTACTTTGGCCACCCAATGAGAAGGGAGCACTCCCTGGAGAAGACCCTGATGCTGGGAAAGATTGAAGGTCAAAGAAGACGGGGACGGCAAAGGATGAGATGGTTAGACAGTGTCATCATCATCAAGTTTATTGTATTAGCCATTGGCCATAACAAAGCATAAATACAAACACAATCCTTATACATCACATTAAGTTATCCCTTCACTAACTTGCGCTGAATCCTAACCTTAATCTTATCTTTTTTGCCGCCAAAGCAAACATTCTGCTGGTAACATATACGTCCATATCAGAGAGCAAAAAACCAACCAACTCATGTTTTGAGAATCCATTGTGCAAAGGTAAAATAGGGTATATAAATCTCTGCCTAAGTGATTCGTGCCATGAGCATCTCAGTAAATAGTGCTCAATATCATCCGGTTAGACAGTGTCATAGATGCAACGAACATGAAACTGAGCAAACTTCAGAGGACGGTAGAAGACAGGAAGGCCTTGCAGGATCTTGTCCATGGGGTCGCAAAGAGTCAGACTCAACTGTGCGACTGAACAACAAAACCTTTCTGCATGCAATTTAAACCTGTTGCTTCGGGTCCTCTCCTCTGCTGCCAACTGGAACAGCTCCTTGCTCTTCTCCAAATGACAGCCTTTCAAATATTTAAAGAGAGCCATCCTGTCCCCCCTCAATCTCCTCTTCTCCAAACTAAACATTCCCAGGGCCCTCAGCCTTTCCTCATAGGGCTCAGTCAATCTGGCCTGGAGGAAAATTCCTTCTTGAGCCCAGAGTGGATATTTGCAGAACTCTAGGTCGAGTACTGACTTTCCTTCCTGCCCTTCTCTTTCATGATCTGCCTAAATTCACAGAATCAACATTGCTGTCAGATGGCCCTCTAGCCTCTGCTTAAAAACTCCAAAGTATAAGAGCCCACCGCCTCCCAAGGATGCCTGTTCCACTGAGAAACCCCTCTGAGCCCGCGTGCGGGGAGGGCGGGGTATAAATGGAATGAAATAAATAAATAACTGTCAGGAAACGTTTTGCCAAAAACTCCTTTGATTCAATTTTAATCCCTTGGTTCCGGTTTGTCAATCTGGGGCAACAGAGAACAGCTCCGCTCCATCTTCCATATGACAGCCCTTCAAATACTTCTTTGTGAGATCTACCCAGTAATGCCAGTCCTGCCCTCTAGAGCAAGCAAGGGCAAGTCTATTCCACCTTTCAAGTATCTGAAGACACCAGTCCTGTCTCCCCTTAATCTTCGCTTCTTTAATCTTTTCAACCTTTCATTACTGGGCTTGGTTTCCAGATCTCTTGCCATCCTGGTTAGCTTCTGGTGGACGCCCCCTACTTTCCCAAAGTCCTTCTTAAAATGTGCCACCGGGAACTGGACACAGCACTCCCAATGAGGCCTGACCAGAGCAGAATAGACACTGTTTCTATTACTGCAGCTCCAGGTTGCTTATTGAATAACTCAATCTTCTGTATGCTTCACCCATGGCCCTCTCGACACCCTCCTTTTAATCCATATTCACTGCAAT